AAGCTGGAAACACAATAGACGCAGGCAATAGGCACAGGCAACAGGGAATAACGAGCCGTCCAAACAGAGCTTTGGGGTATAAGTTCGATATTATATCCCAGAGCTCTGATTGGACGGCTCGTTATTCCCTGTTGCCTGCGCCTATTGCCTGTGTCTATTGTGTTTTCAGTTTATCAAACTTGCATAGTCGCATAAACGTATGCATAAAGAAAATTATCCAATCATATTTTATGTGCGTCTTTATAGGAGAAATGTGATTAGGTAATTTTCTTTATGCATACGTTTATGCGGCTATGCAAGTTTGTGTGGATATACCCTTACGTTTATGCAAATTACGCCGCATGTGACAGAACCCGCACGTCATTCAGAACAGTCAGCCAGCCAATCAAATTTTGTTTTGGTCCTATTCGTATTCCTCAAGTTGACCTGTGTTTTCCACCATGGCGGTATTTTTCACGAATAGAAACATGTCAGTTGATAATAACGACAAATACCGGTAAAATTCGTACAAACTTGACTGAATATTTAAAGAATTCAAGTGGTCCAGGGAAAGTCGAAACGAGTTCGATTTATCGACGATTTCGTCAAAAAGATTTAAAAAGAATCAAATGGCGAGGACTCTAACGATGACTTTCAACATGTCACAAACAGAGAGATTAATAGTGAGACCAATCGAAGATATGATTACCGTGGAGAACAATGATTTTACAATGAAAAATGTCGACGAAGAATATGAAGATATGCCGGAAGGCAACACGGGATTTAAAAAGAGAATTGTACCAGTAATTACTATAGAAGAAACGGAAGATATCGTACTTCTCGATAGTAATCTAACCTATAATGATGGCGCGAAAAAGTGGGATCAGATTTCAGAGCATCAAACGGGGATATTAGTAGACGAGGCGTTTGAAATCGAGGAAAACCCACATATTGACATTAAGGAAAAAGAAGAGGAGGAGGAAGTAATTAGTTGGAGATCGGCTCTAGTGAATCATGCAGCAACATTGTGGAATAGAGAGCTACAAATGGATGAGGTACAAATGGATGAGCCATGCACGGAACAATTACGTGTAGAACAGTCACCTGCGGAACAACCACATACAGAATCACATGCAGAGCAACCACATGTGGAGCAATTGCATGTGGAGCAACCACATGTGGAGCTACTACATATGGGAGAGTCGCAAGATTTGCAAGTAATCAATTCTGCGACGACACCTAGTAGTATGTCGCAAACACAAGACAGTGAGTTCAAAACCATTGAGGAGATAAAGGAAGAGGAGCAACGACTAATGACGGAAATCGAAAGACGAGGTGAGCTCCAGAAAACGATTAACGAAAGAGTTGCAAGAATAAAAAAAATGCGTGAGTTTTTGGAGAAATTCAATGATATTGAAGAAACTGAGGCTAAAGAGGAGAATGCAGAGATGGAAAAACGACTAAATGAAGCGATAGAAGCTTACTTGACAACAAGTGAACAAAGCAAAAATTTTAGCGATAAATTCACGATAGTGGACAACAACGGCGAAAGCACATGTGAAGCATCAATGGTTGTTACATTGAAGAACAAAAGACCGAGAAAGAACTTTCAGGAAAATAAAACGTATCGGATAACATATGATATTACAGGATCTCAAATAAATCGATCATACTGTGTGTTTACGGATGACGATACCACATCATCACGGACAAGTAAAGCTAGAAAGAGAACGGAGGCGAGCAAATCAGAGATAATAACACGATCGATGATAAGCCTAAGAAGAAATTTACCAATAATGTCAAATTTGAACGAAGGGATGCAACTCAGAAAAAGGAGAAATACGCAATGGTCATTGAGAAATAGAAAGACAGCTTACAAATCGAAAAAACGAAAAGAGAACGATCCAACGTCAGCGACACAACGGAGGAATGAAAAGGGAAGGTTTGTAAAGAAAAAATTGTGAAAAAAATGAGAAAGCGCTTTCGACTGCTGGCGAGAAAATGAGCAAGGTAATCACCGATGCAGAAACTTACAATGTTTTTGAGTGCAGTGAGTTTTAATCTAATCTGGGTTGGATCGATAACATCACATGCTTTATTTTGATTTCTAATTGGACAAAATCATGATACTTTTAGGTCAAACATGGATTAACCGAACTGAGTCGGATTCAAACTGGTTGCACTCGTAAATGCTTTTAATCTTAATCGTCAGATTAAACTGACAAGGAATCCTCAATTTCAGAAGGTGCTGCATCATTGGTGGTTTTTCTTGTTCTTCCTTACTTTCTTCTCTTCCTCTTCTCCATATTTGATTTCATTTGCTTCACTAATGACGACACGGCCAGTAACGTAGATGAAAAAAGTTAACAAAATATACTTCCAATCTTCCACAGAACAGCCGCAAAGAAGTAAAAATGTAAAGTCAACTCACGAGTGTACAAAACACGCTCGGTAAGTTTCATCAGAAATTGCCAAAAACATAAAAAATTATAAGAAACAACAGCTCACTGAAGAAAAACACGTTTATCCCAATTGAGTCAATTCAGACTGGCATTCATCTTGAGTGAGACAGAGGCGCTATAACGGTAGATTTAACTAGAGGACTCAAAGGACATCAACAAGACACTGACAAAGGAAAAGAGCAGCTGACATGTTTAGAGAGGCAATCAAGAACAGCAAACAGTAAGGATGCAGCAGTCAACAGTTGAGGGGCTGAGAGGATGAAAACGCTTGGTAACTATAAGTTACTTGGAGATTTAACCGCGAAAAGTTCATTTCATATGTAGTTTATATTGAATAATTAATTATATATTATTTTATAAAAAAAACAGAATATTGTATATATAATTAAAAAAAAAAGGTATGCGTCTTCGTGGTTGTTAGTGTCCGGAAAAAAATGTTTTATATATAATTATATAAAGTCATATATAATTATGTATAAAATATGTTTATATATGTAACATTTTTTTCCGAGTGTTTAAATTATATATGTAAGGCAGTAAGATATAATTCGCATAAATAATTCAAATGTACTTATTTAAATAAAGTTAATTGCAAACTTTTTTCTATAATCTTTACTTTTTGTAATTTTTACTTCGTTTTACAAAATTGATTGGATTTAAGTTCTCTTTAATGCCAAAGTACAAAGTATATCTTATCGCCTTATATAATTTATACATCACAGCAGAGAGTTTTTTATATAGGTACCTTATTTGTATTGGATTTATTTTTGGGACCACAAATTATACTATTCACCCTTTCGTACTTCGAAACATATATGTCCCATCTAGGAAAAAAAGTATAATTTTTGAAAAGTAATCCTATCGACTTTTATCTTGACTTTAAAGAAAAAAGTTCAAGTAACATGTAAAAAAATCGCACCTTTTAAAATGTAATGTTTTTAATAAAATATAGTTATCCAAACGTTGTAAAAAAACAAATTTTTGGATAGTAAAGAATAACCGTGTATTATGTCGAAAAATCATAAAATTGATGCTATAATCATATATTTAGAGTCTTATTTAAATGTGAACTTTATTATAATAGTTTATATATGTA